TAATAAATTCATAATTATACACGCATGCGCACAAATAGCCTTTTGGGCCTTTGGAAATGTATAGGGGTGCGATTTTGATCATTTTTCCCGCAGGTTTTCTGGCTTTGCCCACTTTTTCTTCAGAAAAGCCTAATAAATCGTTTTTGCTATTTCAAAATCAAAGTGCTCTGTAAAAAAGATTTTACAATCGTAAGTTTTCCTGTGCGCACGAGATTAAGCGGGGAAAATCCCGCTTAGGCTATATTAGAAATTAGAAACATTTTTTCTTTAAAAAAGGCAGCAATATCTTCAGGACTAGTTGCTGTGAAGATGAAAACAAATAATTTGGCGGTCCAAACGAATATGATTACTAATCTGAGCATGGGGATAGTGCTGGGACATTCCAGATCATAAAGACAAGTTTACATAACGCTTGCAATAGATAATAGACGAGGACATAATCTATTTGGTCAACCGGGACGTCATCGTCATGAATGGGAATAGATATTTATTGCTGATTCATTTAAAGATGTACTTACTTTCTACATACTGTGATGATAGCAATGAACAAGACAACAACAAAGAAAAACAGGGCGGCACCCACAATGATGATTAACCACAACATGCGTACAGTCTCTAAAAATAAAATAAAAAGAGAAAAATGACAAATTAAAAAGTACGTTCCAATTACAGCTGTTTATATATTTGAACTACATGAAGAGATGCAGGCAATGAAAATTACCGGAAAATGCTGAATTCTGCAAACGGCCTGTCAGGAACAAACGACGTTAACGAGTGTTGCGCATTCAAGTGACGACGGCGTGAATTTTTCATAATAGCTGCCTCCAAACAAATGACCCTGTGCAATTATCTGAGTTTCGATCGCTAGTGTGTCAAGCTCGGTATGCACACAGCGAGCGTTTTACATTTACTAAACTTTGTAGGTATCTGCATATGTACTGTACATACAAGCATACTGTGCTATATGGATTAGCAGGAGGTAAATAATGGGGCGCCATCTGTGGATCAATGTTAGTCAGTTTGACATAATTATTGATAAGCGTGAAGGCATTGTCCTTGTTTGTTCGTGTCTTGCATGCATTGTCCTTATTCTTGCTGGCTTGATTGGGCTATTTACATGCAGATAGTAGCCAGTCTCAGCAACAAAGCGCCCTCTATAATTTCGCAGGCTCATTCACCGTGTATTTAATTGAACTCTCGCCTGCACCATGCACTGATGTAGATAAGCTACTAACTTGTAATAAATGTTACTTTGCACACAAAGCAAATCAAGTAAATTCCATTGCACCTGCAGCGTCAAATAGGTTTAGCTTACGTTCTCGAGAAGATGTGACCGACGATGTCAAGGTTGTGACATCCCCCAGAGGTGTTGTCATGACATCTACATGTATTACCGTTGCTTGAGTTGAACTCGCAAATTCTGTATAAAGACATCAACATAACGAAAGGCTGCACATGAATGCATGATTTATTTTATAAGATCAAGCAAAGGACACCATCTCTGCCGTTTTATAAACAGGCATGAATTTGAGTAGTTTATTTTTTGCTTCTTATATCTAAATCGAAGAAGTGATGAAATTCACTAAATTAGTTCTGAACGGAGGTATTACTGACGATTTAAAACTCCCTGATACATGTGTTGAAAGAACATGCGTTTTCTCATCTTTTAGTATATAAAAAGGTCTGCTGAAAAAATTGCACTGTCATTTCTTGCTCTTGTTTCTTTTGGAAAAAAAGACAAATTACCTGTACTGCCTGAATTTGTTGCCCACAGCTCGTTTGTTCTGTTTTGTCCTGTTGCTTAAAAGGGTGATATAAAATATATGACGTGACATAAATGTTACAGGGGTGGGAAAATATACAAATTTTGAAGTGAAAGTTCACATTTTGATGGAAATGAACGCCGTTGTCTGTGGAAATTAGCAAGAATGCAAGCTTTATTAAAATCCTTTTCTGTCCGCTTGGCTTCTATATTTCCTTGGCTACGGTTGTCAGTTGAGTGTAGCGAATTTTTCTTAATAGGCTTTTAACAATGCTGTTCTACATTCATTATTATATTCTTAAATTTCCTAATCGGTTGCAAAATATTTCTGAAGACAAACTATCTTTCTATAAAAACTTTATAATGTTTGACACTTGCAATATCTGTAATTAAAATAACATTGCATGTATTGCCTGCGGAGAAATAATGTTTCAATGAAAAGAAGATGCTGCGACAGTTCCTACAAAATGGCCGAGAAAACTAAAATTAGAAAAATAACTCTTCTCGGTCTCACTGTCATTTGAAACCAGTTGGTTCTAACCTAGGACACGAGAACACAAGTGTATAATCGAGGAAGATGCTACCTTCATCTGTAGTCATCTGGTCGGGCACAGAACTCAAAGATGATGCTTAAAACAAAACAAAAAATAAGAGAATAATATTGATTTTGATGTCTCTCTAACACACCATGTAATTGCTGTACTGATGAACTGAACTCATCAAGGCTGCACAATATGAAATTTGAATTTGAATAATTTTATCGTTCATTTGACTTTTATGCCTCCGTGGTCACAGTTGGCAGTTTGTTGTAGTGGTTTCATGCATTTGGCGAAAGCAAACCATAGCTCAAATATTGACGATTTGAAAATTTGCTTAATTACTGTTCATAATTGATGGAATAAGTTTTCTGAAAAAAAAAATAGCTGGACTCTTCCCAAACTAAGACGCGTCTCGAACAGTTCATGATAGAATACGCAGAAGTACGTGAATAATATCACAATAACTAAAATAATGCTGTAAACAAAAGACAGAAATGATTTCTTTAATAAGTGTTCTTGAAAATTCAGAAAAGGAAATACAAACTCTTCCTACTCTTACCGTCAAACATTTCGGTAACCATGAACGTCATCATTGTTGTTGGCTCGCTGGTTGGTTGAGTACCTGCAAAGAAATAAGAATGAGGCAGAATGAATTGAAAATTCGAGAAATAAAAAATAAAAGCTTCTGAAAACAAGCTAAAAACCTTAAATATACATATATACGGGCTGTTAATGTTAGGAATTAAGATATTGAGAAGATTTCTTCTCACTTAGTTTACATAAACTGAAGTTTATCGTGATATCGGCGGTAAATCCAGACATGCAATTGCGGCTCATAGACTTCTATTTGTCAGAAACGTTCGTGTTAATCCCGATCGTAGCCACGTTTGGGCTAATGAACAGACAAATAATAACAAACTTCTGGGCGATAAGGAATTCCATTCTTCCCATGGATGCTACTACTATTTCTGGACGTTCACTAATCTGTGAACTAAACGTGGGATTCCGTCATGTGTGTAAAAGTAACATACCGCCTGCATACTGCTTTCGCTCTACATTCAGTTTAATGCTCTCGTCGTTGTATATGGGTCCTTATTGTGGAAACAAGGTTTCTCAAGTGACTCCTCCAAATTTGCATGCTCTGTTGGATTCAATTATTCACAAGAAATGTGTTCTTGCACAACTTTGGCGTTTCTTCTGAGAAATCTTTTAGGTGAACTCCTTTTTGTCATGTTCTCATCTTTCCGCTAACCTGGACACATTGAGTCTGCCACCCATTCGCCCTTGATGCAGCTAATGCTAACTGCGATGTTTGAATCTGAACAATTGTAAGCCAGCGTGTCTCCTCCACGGAACTCCAAACTACCCTGGGTTGTATTTCCCTGGTCGACAGTGCCCGGTGGCGGCTCTGGTGCCTTGCAAACATTCGGGAGACAAGATGGCGGTGCAAGATCCCATCTTCCAAGTGGCAGGCACGTCAGATTGCCTGGACCGGTTGCGAAGAAATCTTTTTGACACGAAATACTCACAGTCTGACCAACCTCAAAAAAGTTCTCGTTGGCCGGCAAGACTGTAGTGTGCGGTCGTGCGTCGATGGGCAGGCATCCTGTCAAATGATGAAGTTTTTATTAATAGTTACTGACTTTCTAGATTTCAATCACTGTAACGTTAAGACTTGCGAAAAATGGCTCACGGGAACACTTACAATGCACAGGCGCATACATGAAAACTCAAATACGCTAGTCGCATGGGTTCACGCATTTGATTGAGTGCTTAGTTTTGGCGATCAACTCTTATACTTATAAGGCAATCATTGCCAAGAAACTGATAGGGCCTAATATTACCTTCATGAAGCAATGTACTTGTCGGAAATTGATTCGCATAAGTGTCTAGACATTGGCTTTTAATTATAGATATTTCCACCCGTTGTCAACTAAGACGGACTCATCCCTTCATACTAGCTTGTTATCGATCATTATAGCTCACCGATTTCGTAGACTCGCATTCGGAAGTCGCTTCCACAATTTTGAGTTATGTCTCCTCTGCAGTTAGACTTGCAATAGTCCTCGTTGTCTTCCTCGCCATTTATATCGTACGCAGCCGTTCCATCGCCGCAGAAGCACTGCGTGCCAGCTTGAACCCCTGCGAAAATGAAGTCTTTGCCAGAACACAGGCCCAGACAGGTTGTTACGGACATGTTTGTAGAGCTCTGACAGTAGGGAACTGTAGTACTGCAGTAGTTGTTGCATAATTCCATGACATCACCACAAAAGGTCAGATTTGGGAGTACTCGATTTGGGATAGAGTCAAAGAAACAGCCTAGGTAGCGGGAATCTGCGTGAAGAAATGTGAGCAATCGTCAGTGATTGAAACAAACGCTGTAGAGACCGAGATTTCTGCAGTGTTTCACTTAGATCTGACTCATGATGCATTCGCTCCCCTGTCTAATCTTCGTAGAGGAATCTAAAAAAATGTTCATTCAGACTTTGAAAGAGTCAAGACACGGTATCCTAGTTTCACGCCAAAATTTGAGTTACCTTTGCTTTTACGAGATCAGTTCAGTCCACGATTAACTTCATTAATTTGACAGTGAAAGCCCGATGCACAAAATGCACGACTTTGGTTTTGATTGACAAGTCATCAGTTAAACCGGAAACGTTTCTTCGCCTGAAAAATAGTTTTTTTTCCATTGTAACCTTTTCAAGACTTACTAAACCTACCTTTCTCCGTTTATCCGGACACACAACATTTCAGTTTGTCAAGGACCACACCTTCTTATTACGTTGTGATATTCAGCGGGAAGTAATTAAGTATCGTTACTCTCGCTAATCACAGCATTTTTTGACAAAAGACTAATACACGTCCTGTACATTTTTTGTTTACATTTATCATTAGCCGGGATCTTGGCTCAATGTTTATTGTACCAGCATTGGTGGTCATTTGTTCCAGTTGGGTAAACTGAGCTTATGAGGGTAGATGACTTGCGTATCTCATCAATTGACGTATATTAATGACGGACGTTTAAAAAGGAGAGAAATGAAAGAATTTATAATTTTTTCGACTATTGTGTTAACTTGTTTTGCAAATGTTTGAAATGATTAAAGGACATAGATCGCACATCGCTGTTATTTTAAATCAGTTCATTATGTGCAAGCCATATTCAATTTGCGTTTCGAGAAACTTAGGCCTATGTATAGGATGAATCATTGTAATCTAACCATGGAGGAAGGAAAATCGCTGTATATGTACTCTATCGTCTGCATATGAGCATTACAATGGACACCTCAGGCGAAAAGGCGGTTCACGGCCACAAAAATTAATTTCCTCACTACAAGTGGCCCCTTCTTTAGGGAGCAAATCAGTAAGGAAGACTACAGTCTTCCAAGGTTGAAGACATTTCTAATCACTGTGTTAATTAAATTGATCTTGGTGCTGTGAAATAGGTCGATTAAACGATGTATGATGTGGGTCGGTCTAAAACAAAAATAAAACAGATGAGACCCAGCCGTACTGTATCTGTTAACCTCTTCTGTGTTCGTAGGGATTCAGTAAAATGTTGAGTGTTTTGAACACTTTTGCCCGTCATGCATTTGAAGATATTTGAATCATTCTGAGAGAATGTTTTGTAAAATAGTTTTCAGATTGGTGAATAACTTTCAGTGCTGGTGACCTTCGCCATGTTAATACGACAGAATTTTAATACTGTACTTTAAGTTGGTGAAGAATTGTAAGCAAATTAAAACAAAACAAAACAAAAAAACATACGCACATCACGTCTATTACCATTCATGTTTTGATAAGGAAAATTCTTATCAAGGGAATCTCCAGAACAATATTAAACATCCAAATATTGGGATGGAAAGGGCTCTACCATCTAGTAATGGTTCACAGATTTTTTGCATTGAAGATTCCCGTAAATTTTATTTTCAAGACCAGGCTCGACAACTCTCGGCAAATCTCGCCAGATGGCAATTGTCATCTTTTTATTCTACTTCATTTAAAGGTATAGATAGGATAAGATTATATACAGTTTATACCATAATGACATTATCCCGCAATTTGAAATGGGAGGGGGGAGTGGGGATGCGTGTACACTTATCGCTTTAAATCCGTAAGCAGGCTCGAAAGCCTTTACTTTCTACTTGCAGCTGAACAGATTTAGAACATTGAAACCATGACATTTCATTTATAGATTTTCGGAAAAGATATGTTTTTGACAAACGTGTGCATGTATATCCAAATGTATGACATTTTACATTATGGCCGTGAGAACTGGACAGCACTGATTGTTACATGTTGGACTTGATTTACGGCAAGTACGGCATTTAAAAAAAAGGAATTTTAGAACAACATCCTCCAAATTTTGACAAACAACAGGTATTTACGAAAATCATAGAAAATTCTCCCTTTTCTGCATCTCTTTCGTCATATGAAACTTTTCATGGAGATTTTTCTGTTTGTAATCAGTTATAGTGAAATAGTGAATCGCACATACATTCCATGAACAGTCCCCGCACTGAGGCTCAACCTCACTCTCGGTTTCACTGGTCTTAGCCCTAGATAATAACACCATATACTTGGTCCTGTATACGTTGAGCAACTATGCATTCAATATTTTACATTGACCAAAATATATTCGTTCTTTATTTATTATTCTTGTCTCACAACTCGACAGTTTGACAGTAATTGTTTCTTTTGTGCTTTGATATAAGCATAAAGGTAGCCCCTTGATTAAGCTAGTTTCGGAGAGACATTTAGAAAAGCATAGTAAAACGTGTTGCTGGTCCACTAGTCCATGAAGGACAATGAGACTGAAAGAAATGGTGAAAGATAGGAACTGTTTCGATTTAAGTCTGACAGGTCGTGTTACTATCCCCATCTAGAATTTGCCTGATACCGACTTGAGCGTCCCTAAATACTACAGCAAGGAACGATGGAAGTCTTTGAAATAATTTTCTATACACAGCATGCCTGAACAACTATTCAAAACGAAACTCCACTTATTTCCCATTACGCTTTCTGTAAAATTTTAGCAATCATAGCACGTTCAATAGAATATTCACCAGAGTATAAGGAATTAAATAAGCCAGCATACCAGTTCACTTAATTGCTTCATGTGGTTGACTCAATTAAATGGGCGTGTACCACACCTTTAAATGATAGCAATTTAGCTCCGTAGCGGGCGATGTCTCGTGACCGTGACAGAGCGGTTCGTAACCGCTCACCCGGTGATAGCAGGCTGCGTAAAATAATACACGAAGGGTTTGTGTTGATTAGGCTAACCAGACATTCTGGGTCAATTGAGATGGAGAAAAGCGCTTGTTGGAGAAATAAATACTCCAGTACCTCTGTGTTGTTTACGGCTGGTCCGTTGCTAAGGCCATCATAGCGTATAGAAATTCTCACTTAGCATGTTCGTCTCGCGGTTTGAGGCATTTCGTTAATTACTTCAGTATTCTGCTATGAATTACACGTCTTAATGTTTTTTGAAACTAGAATGGTGGGACATCTCCAGACCGCTATATAAAACGCTTTTTACGCAGATCCAGGAATTTTTCGGGGGGGGGGCAGGCCGGAGATTTTTTAATGCCTTATTGTTGTGGACGATTAGAAACGATAATGAAACATCAGATGACACGCATTGTTTACAATGGTATTGGTGTAATTACTGTAGTTATTCTTTTTATTATTTCGCCCTTTTGATTACTTTTTTTGTCCCAGAGCAAGGGGGGGGGAGGTCGACCCCTGATTCTTTCACAGATTTTCACTGGAATCTGTTCATTGTATAGGGCAACGATGCAGAAAACAAGCATGGATATTGTTCCCGAAATGTTTAGTGCGAAACCCTGATGTATCATTGGTACGTTTCCAAGGAAACGTAACGTACAAATATACTCGTAAAGAGCTTAAAGCAAATCTGGTAAAACTATAGAGAAGAACGTGTAGATAATAAATGAAAGGTTATCTGCATTGTACATAGGTAATGGGGAACCTTCAGCGCCGGCGTGTTACACAGTCAGCACAGAAAAGAAAAAAAAGCGATATTACTGCTTGCTCTAACCGGAAAAAACAATCAGCAGACCATGTGCAGTAGGAAAGAATGCAGAACTGTTGACAGAATTATTAAATCTCATTTCACAATAGTTTGCTCTGCCGTTTAAAAAACGGGATTACTTAATCATATTGCTTCCAAGAAAATGTGACTCGGGACCTTTGGTTTCAGTGCAGATGTCCTATTCCCACTCTAAATCAGTGGAGAAGATCGCGCGCATTCGTCTTTCGTATTGCGATAGAATTCCAATTATGAAATCAGTAATTTGTCTTCAAAGATTAAAGGAAAAGTCATAAAAAAGGAGGTTATCACATAATCTCAAATGCTGCATATTACATATTGAGTTTAAAAACATGCCCTCATGACACCCTTCTGGTCATTAAAACTTCAAAGAAGGATTTTCAAAATCCAGACAAATATATTTTTACAATAAAATGCTACGGAGCACAAGACAAAATAAACCTAGTTCTTTGATTTCTGGAACATGCAAAATTATGACAAGGCACAAATTATTCACTCAGTGCGGTGTGTAACTTTTAAATGTTAATTTGTAGTGTCTGTGATTGTAATCTGCTTTTCTCTGAGAATGCAAAAGATGCATTAAGGGAAATAATCTTGAGAGCTCACGCAAGTATATCATTGTAACCCTGCTGACCTTTAATTAACAAAGAATTGTGAATTTAAACCATGATTGGATGAAAGCGGTATATCAAGCCAACACCAAATCATAATGATGGAAGAAACACAGAGTGGATGTAAGACATGTCCCCTTTACCTTGACCATATGCAGTGCTAACGACGAACACCATGGTAACGGGAAGAGCGACGATGAAGCAGTTGAAGGCAGGCATCCTTTGTATTTCCTCCTTAACACTTTGCTGAGCAACCTAGATCAACATTCGCTTTATAAATTGCTGATGAATCAGTCGCCAAATATTTAATGGAAGGACTGAACGAAGACCCAACAGCGTGAAACAAAGAGCGAAAGTGACCACTGGTATAATCGAATGCTTGCAAAATCCACAGGTTATTTCATCCACACGCGATCGATGACCAGTGATTGACCGATGCATTAGAAAGCCACAGATAACTCCCCTGTGCGGATAAGTTAAATAATCTATGGACACATACTGACTCAAACATACAGTGCATCACAAATGTTGACGATTCGCAACTAGATATCCAAAGGACCTTGGCAATGTAGCACGTTTGCCCCGACGACAAGTTTGCAGTCTGCTGCACAACTCTATTTCGCGCCCGCTAAATAAACACAAATCAGGCAATTCACAACGAGTAGACGGTACTGGAAATTTCACCTTGTTGGAATTGTCCTTGTCCGTGCCTTTGCGAACGTGTAGATAATGGATGCCTCGTCAGGTTGTTTTGGTAGCTGTAGCTCCTGGCATAATGAGGCAGGATGTAGCAACAATAAAACGTGGAGGTTGATAAACATGAAAGACAACTGTCGACAGAGATGAATTTCTCAACAGGTCAAACAGTAGTCTTGAATCTTTCAAATTGGTAGTTGGTTTTCCTACCTTCATGCTTTTTTCATGAAACGGGTTCAGTCACCCACACAATCCTACTGTCATGCCACAACCCTATAGAACAATAGCGGATCGTGATAGTAACCCGCACAATTAGCAGCTCCACCCGCACAGTCTTTTTATTTCCATGAAGTACGTAATGACGCGCAAACTGGACCATGACGTTTTTTACTCTGATCTCTTTATTATGTAGCCCCTAAAATTAGCAATTTTGTGGCTGGTTGAAAGAAGCGAAGAGAAGTCATGTTTTGTCGACATTTGTGCACTGGATCGTGCATTTTCGTTTAAGTTATTTCAGTAGTGGTCCTTTAACAATGACAGGCCTGCTTAGGTTTCTGGTTTAAAGTGTATGTATTGCTTTCAGTCCTTATTTCAAATCTGATTTCTAGGAGAGTGGTACTGAATGAATCGCCAAACATGCGTGCTTATTATTTTAAGAACAATCAATCAATACGGATCGCTTTGACTGTAGAAAACCAACTTAAAGCTTTAAGTTTATCAGTCAAGGTGTTTTAAACAAAACGAGATCTTCAAAATTGCAGACCACATGATGGTCAGTCTGCTTTATTAATATTAGTGAAATGAATCATGCGTCACGCGTCTAAAAATGAATTTATCTCGATAGGTAGACTAGGTTGAATATAAACGATTTCTTCGAGTGGTTGACCTTACGCTTCGTGACTTGGAGTTCGCTGTTGTCTGAGGAAATATTGATCAAGCCCGTCATAATGCATTTACAAGACAAGTTTACGACAGCTTGATATGGAAGGACTCTTGGCGGTACAGGTTGCCGCACAAACAGTTATTAATATTATTGTAAAAGTCATGTCAAAACAAATATAGCGCAGTTGCGCATATTGCTTTGTCACTCAAATGACCTGCGTTCATCTTTTCTCATTACTATTTCATTTCATATTAAGCAGATAAGAATAAATCATGCCCCACTGAAGCATTCTCGATGGGTATGTACACAGAATTATACGCACCACACCTTGTTCAATCAAAAGCCTTTCATTATTTATAAAAGGTTGGACACAAATCCACCCTGGGGAAATTATCAATCAATTACAAACTCGCAGGATCCACTTCGTGAGAAATTTCCAGTGACTTTATCAAATTAAGCTCGGCGCCTGTCAAATGTCAGAATTTTCTGTTAGAAATGAACATCTGCGCCCCTGTTCCATACATTACAATGTAGAAATAGCAATGGTATCTCAACTGTGGATTTATGAGGAATTACCTTTACTGAAATACCTTAAGTGCAACTGTGGAGAAAAAATATCCCCTTACTGGATGTTGACATACACGTACGAAGGAATTACATTCCTCGGTACTGTCTCACTTGAGTGTAAAAACAATATATCAACCATCAACTAATTATCCGCTCCGGGCGAAACTAAAGAGGGCATGTTTTTTGGTACTCACGGCATAGCTGCGCGTTTATCAATGGCGCGCTTGACACCGACTACGCGTAACGATTTTTCCTTACTGTATGGTCTTTGTGTACACGCAGAACGCGTGCAAGAATCCGCTTGTAACCATCCGTCTTTCTTTCGCCGACTGGGGGTGCACTTTAGCTCGGGGCGGATAGATACACCCTATACATTTCCAGCCACTAATTTGTTGAAAATTATAAAAATGATAATGACCACCCTGATTATTTGTAAAAATGTTATCATACTGAGAGATGTGAGGAAAAATGAAATTTGTCTTTCAGGCATGCTCGATCAGTTCGTAATCGTTGGTGAATGTTGCTCCATCGCAAAACACCGTGGTACTATATTTAACCACCAAAATTAATGTCCTTGTGACCGTTTGATTTGTTTCAAACAGGTGTTACAGCCAAACATGATATATGAGCGCTGACTTTATTCTGCAACTACTGCGAAATCAGATTTTATTGTTTGACAAAGGGCCAAACGAACAGCTGTAAAGTTAATTAAACCATGGAAATCAATGATTCACCGACAGACTACGCCTTTTAAGGTGCGATGCTTTTTAAGGCGGTGATCAGTTTATCCTGGTATTTTTAGTATCAGATAATGTATCAAATTTTCAGCAGGGAAAAATATCGTTTGTATAAATGACATTTCCCAAAATTTCGATGTGTTTTCAAGTTATTGGGTGATATAGGAAATCGAAGCTGGTGCATGATGTATAGGAAAAAAGCTACATGTGAAGTTTCTAGTTCATTTTCTCTTTACGTGTATATAGCTTTACTCTTTCAATTGTTCATATAAAAATGGTTGAAGTAAAATACTGTTTGTATTACATTTGTGATTAATCGAATATTAATACTTATTAATGCATTTAAGCCTAAATAATAAAGGATAGCTATGCTAAAATTTTACAATCAACTCTATCTCTACACACAAGTCCATAAATTTATCGAAATCTGCAGATCTGATTATAATAATTACATAAATGTCCATTTATGGAAAGGATTAAAATATTTAACAAATGACTATAGAAAATACGATTATGTTTGTTTGAAAGTATGCACTATAATACGAATAATTATATGGGAACATTAGAAAATCTTAATGCTTAACCTCTGCGGTTTTGATAGAACTACATTGGTTGATTATCGGCAGCTCTCGAACCTACGATCGCACTTTTTTCCTACTCAGTATCAGCTTTCCAGTGTTTTGTGTTTATTTTATGGCAATTTGTAATAGAGTACAACCTTCAAAGTTTAATACCTCTTAACAAAGAAATATTCCATTAACTTAAAAAGCTGTGTCTTTCGTGACACAGATGGGTGTATCTACATGCACCGGGCGTAGCAACATCAAGAAAACCCAAATTTAACCATACGTTAAAGGAAAACTGCAGATTTCTTAATGCATTATATGTCCTGAAAGGCCTGAATGTCTTCTATTCAATGACACCTTAATTATGTGCTCATCGTGTCGAGGTTGAACGAGTAACAATGCACATTGTTGACTAGCGGGTGAAATTTGCACTGTGACAAATTAGCTTACATACATTCAAAAGCGCGTACGTTGGCCTAAGTATCATCTACTGTACAGCATATGCTAACTTTCACCTGCTGGTCAACGATGCATTGTTACTCGTCTAACCGTAACATTGAGCACATAATCAAGGTTTCATTGGAAAGAATAGATTCAGGCCTTTCTTGGGACATATATTGCAAATTAAGACATCTGAAATTTTCCTACAAATTATGGTTGAATTTGGATTTCCTATATTTTGATACGCCGTGTATTTGCTAGAAATACAGTATTTCTTGCAATAGGTTTACACTCGTATTTTCAAACACATAATTGCTCTACTTTTTACAATGAGCTAGGGAAAACGTGCAACATTGAACAAAAAAGGACTTTGTGATAAATGTTACAATGATCCATCCAAAGAATAGATCTTGAACACCCGTTCTTTGTCTTGGTTTTAAAATATTGCCAAAAAAATCTAATGGGTGCATAAATTCTTCACAAAGGAATAGGAAGGAGTAGTAGTTACACGCATAACCACAGTAAAGTCATCAGCAATGAATCGTGACACGTGACTTTTAAAGACAAATGGAATCACAATCAGGGAAATGATTTGCACAAAAATCAGCAAGTAAAACGATTTGAACATCATCAAGTAATCCTCGGACAATTCGAATATCAAATCTTCACAAATTGAATGGAGTCTTACTCCAAATCTTAGGAAACCTGTCATAGTTGTAATGATCCCTATATGGATGGTAAATGGATTTGGTTGTTTTCCGAATTGTTTGATACCCCGAATTGACCCATTTTCCAGTGACGAATCTTGGTGTTTTCATAAGCAACAGATACACATCCACATAAGTTACACTTTTCAGATGTCGATGGGATACAAGTGCTTTTATTGCCAAGAAATTCTTAATCGTCATCAAATCTATAGTCTTGTTGCTGATGATTTGGCAGGGTCAGCAAAGAAGGAGTTTCCTGAATGCTCGGAGTTGAGAGTTTCTCTGGAATCACTTCTCCGACTTTTGTCGATTTGGGCGTAGATAGCGGCAGAAAGGTCATGTGGTTGTATGGTTGTGTTGTCCTCATTGGACTCAGTATCATCGTCATCCAGTGTCGTGCGCTGGTAAAGAGAACTTGGTCGACTCCACCCAACCAAGTCTTTGGTCCCTGTGGCATTCTTTTTAGCTCGGCGATTCCCAGTGGCATGCACTGCGACAGGATCGTCGGAGGACAACCCACGCTTTTGATTTGGTCGATCTGTGGTAGCAGAATACCGCTTAGTATATCCGGAATTACTCTCTGGTAAGACTGTCTCAAAGTTGGCGTATATGGGACTCGGTGGGCTGTCTGTGGATGGTACTCCCTCATTCACGTTGGCATATGTAGTGGGACTTGTATCATTTGCACGGACTGCATCGTTGTTAGAGTAGACAGGGTCCTCTGAGAATGTTGAGAGTTGCGTGTGGTAAAAGCTGGATGGACTGGGTGAGGATGCATTACGGGCTTCAGACAGGATATCTGGCATTTCCACTTTAGCTTCTTCGTTTTCATCATTATGGAATCCAGTGTTGATGAACGTAACAGGTGATGCCTCAGGCTTCAGGCGAATATCTTGACCAGAGTTACCAGACCTCTTCCTGCATGTAGAAAAATGAACAGAGGTAGTAACACATTACGTGAGCAATAGTGATTGAATTATAAGGCTAAAGGACCATAATGTGTTTTAATTTTCTTGTTTGCCATATTGACATGTTAAAAATTAAAAATTTAACCTATTGCTATTTGAAAAAGGTCTGAAAAACTTTACATTTTCCATATTTGGTTTTAGTAAACAATTTGTCATGAACAGAACTCGCCTACTCTTACTCAGAATTGCTTTTAGAAAATATGGTTTGGTACTGGAGCGTAAAACGCACTGAAATGCCAAACAAAAGGTGAAAATGTCGCAGCCTTGGAATATTTTCATCTCAGTTTTTAATTGATTTGAAATCCATCGTTTTGCATTCTTGGGTCTTACAGATAGGATTTTAGAGGGAAAGAAATACCTATTTTACGGGTCAAAAGCTTATGCAAACAACCTGACATGATTATGTTCTTCGTATACAGCAACGAAACAATTTGAATTACATGTAATTCCACAATAGAGAAATGCGTATTTTTTACAGATAGTGACTATAGAAGCCACAGTGCTTAGTTGTGCTTCTTCAGAAGCCCCCAATCCCAGTTTAAATTTTTCAAGCTGCAAGCTAATTCATGTAGTTTCTTAAACAGTTTACCCACCTTCCTTTGCAGACAAATATGCTGACTAAACACACAACCAGGATGAAGAGTAGTAAAGCCGAGCCACCGATAATGTATGGTAGGAAATCTGACAAGGAAGATACAGTTTTCAGGTAATAGGTAATTTCAGTACAACCAACTTACATGAGGACATGAACGATGCTGCTTCACTTGAAAAACTAGTTTAAAATAAAACTAGAAGTGCGACATGCAGAATATTACCATCACAAATATTTTTCCGAAAACAAAATCTAAATTATACAATTTTGAAAGGAAAAGACAGCTGCAAAGAAAATACTTACATGAATACAAGTTGAATTTTGATTTCCATAAAGGTTTCAAAACTACTTCTTATGAGTTGATCATTGAAAAACCAATCCAAAGTTCACTGACATGACATAAAGGCTGTCACGTGTGATTGCAGCACTACTGTTATAAAACGCAGTCACGACTTTTAATGCCGTCTCAAGATTTGTGAGTCAATTTGTCACAGAAAATGGAAAAGGCTCAATTATTCACTGTTACGTCTTCAGGACTACTATCCCCTCGCTAGATTACCCTTTTGAACAAACAAGTGGAAGGTTTCCTAGTTAAAGATAGTGGAATCAGAAAGTGACGAACGGAAGCAGAGAGAGAAACATATTGAAAGGTGCTAAAAGGTTTTCTTAGAAAATGGGAATGTTTGACGTAAAAGTAAAGGCTTTCCAAACATTGATAAAGTACATGTAGGCTTATAAACACCTTACACCATGCGTTTGACAACTTTTTGTATGCTTAAGGATTATATAGAGCTTTTAGGATCAGTGGCACTGAACTGACTTTATTCCATTCAGAAAAGAAGAGTACTTCTGCAGGATTAAATGCCTTGGTAATAATCTGGAATGAACAGAGTAATCTTACCAGTTATAGAGGTTAGTGGCACTGATGCCGTAGTAGTCTGAGCGGTGCTCAAAATTTGCGTAGTCTTTACAACCTCCGTCGTAGTATCTGTCATGAAAAAATAACTCTTCGTCAATGAGTGATTGTATATATGGGAAACAGGATCAGTAAGTTTTTTATATACCTATGCACACAAACCGATCTCACAGAAAGCCCACTCTGATCCTTAAAAATTTCACCACTGCTAGCGACACTCAAATCAACTCAACACAGGTGCTGGAAGTTGTTTGTGGTAAACATTTGCGTGCAGTTACCTCACATCATTACCATCAAAATCTTAAGGCCCAATCCTCACCATTGATTGCAAAAATGTGAGGCGAAAGTTACACTGTGACTAAGATCCAAATACGTATAGGCCTTTTTTAAAAAAAAAATTCGTTCCTTCCAAAACAACAGGGCCTACAATGCTAGGCCGAGTTTAGTTGTGGGGAGGATTGTGCATGTATTTCACGATCTTCCACCACCCAACCATATCACCTGTTACAATGAGTACTACCATAATGGATGGGTAACGGACGTGTCCGCTTGGGTTTGGTGTTGGCTTGTCTACCTTCTGATACGCCGGTGAAGCTACAGCTTGGGAGCACAGCAGGTACCCATGTCCTGTTGGACTGACAAAGGAGTTGTGCCTCCCCAGTAATCTTATGTAAGGGCAGACAGATGAAATTGAGCCTATTTCCGGTTGTAATGGCCACACCATCCGATATATAAGAGTTCTCCACAAAACCTGGATGGAAACAGTCCGCGCCATCCACTGGACCTACAGAGTGAAAAAATGACACATTTGAGATATAAAATTGGGATGCATGATGGTGCAATAAAAGCGATGAATTAGACATGTTATGTAAACTGAAAGTGAATGAGTATCTTTGCCAGGGCCTTGAGAGGCCTTATGACTCGAGCAATTACTGAATGTAATCGGAAGAATTTGAGATTGGGTGAATTAATTAGGACATACAAATTATAGTTTATACATGTAAGTTTATTTTTAATGCATCATTGATCATGAATCCTCAGTTTTTATCAAACAATACATTTCATGGTGTTTAAAATAATAAGGTAACTTCTTACCTCTAAATTCATAGACTTGCATTTTGAATTCCCCACCGCACGTTTTATTTACATCACCAGTGCAAGGATGGGAACAGTTGGTTGTAGCCCCATCTGCCCTTCCGTATGCAAATGGATTTGAGAGGGCACCTCCACAAAAACATTGTTTTCCGGCTTCCAGAGCGTAATATCGGAGGTTTCTTATCCTGCAGAGAGACCTGCAGAGATCAATGGTCATTCCCGTGCTTTGGCAGTAAGAATGCTCAATTCCACACGACGAATGACACGAATCCCTTGCATCATCACAGGTGATGAGATCCGTCAGTGCCCGTTGAGAATGGTCAAAATAACAACCATGGTTAATATCTGAAAGAAAAATATGACATGCAGCTTTTAGGAGCATATGTCAACTCCAGAAAGCAGCTAAGCACTCTAATATTAAATCCATTCTGAAAACGAATGCTTCACGCGTAAATTGGCTTTGAAGGTTAATCCAAGAATGATGATCATTAGCATTGCCATCACGCTTTGATGACACAAGCAGACATTTCTGAGCACAGTGTGGTACATGATTTTTCATTCCAAATAGAAAACGAAATACGAACATTTTGGAAAATGCGTATTGAAATTTAGTTCACCCAATGAGGAGCTCCTTTGAAAGAGCTTTGATATAAAGTTATGAATAGAGCGTTCACAGCAGGATTGTGATTAGTTCGATCAAAACATTTGGAACAAGCGGACTCGCCTAGCACTCAGGGAGTCTTAAGGGTTAACATTTGTAAAGGAGGTGCCACCAGACAGTTCTATGTAAAAAGAGTGGTGCTGAACAAAATTGATTGCGGTGATTTAGAAAACATCGACATTGCACACGGATGAATGTTCAGGAAATAACTATAAATCCAAGGAAAACAAAGCAAACCAGTCATTTAAAGGACATACAGTGCACGGTATGATTTTGTTAACCAAAGATTCATCTTAACCATGACTAATAACATAGTTTAGCGTGGCCCAAATGGGAGAGAACTACAGTGCTATGTCTGTGGCACTTTTTTGCTCTTTATAAAACAGGCTGTAGTTTTTATTTCAGTTTTATTGATGACACTTTACTTTTGGCAACCAAAGTGAATACACGTATAAGAAATGCCATAGCACGAATGTTTAATGGAGAAATGTATATCCCAGTTGTGATTACTGTCTTGGTTGCAAATCATGTTAGTCAGGATGATTCCTCACCTGTTGGGTCTTGACTAAATCCTGATTCAAACGAACAAGTCACAACCAAAATGCATACGGCAACCTTCAACATCGTATCAGTTCTCTAAATATCTCCGACTGGCGGCCCACGTTTCAGCGAGTTGCTTCTTGTGATTACACGGGGAAATGAACCACGGTGCTCTGTACTTACAAACACGAAACTATCGAAACCTGTTTTGCAATTAACGCTGTTTAGGAAAACTAGAGCAGATTCTGATGTTGCTATTACGCTAGGATTCGGTAACACATCTGGGGCGGCTTTTGCTCTTGACCCAATCGAGTTCTCTTGACTGTGCTTGTAAGCGCAGTATTGATATGCAGGCCCAACAGAGCTCATAGCAGGTATAATACTTTACAATAGCGGTACGTCAGTAGGCCTCTCGGTTCAGTGCTTGCTGGGAAAAGATTAAATATTTGAATGTGAATAGCGTTATTTGAATATGTTTGGTATACAGAGGGCGTGAAAAGGTTGCATATTTTAGGACGGGATAATAGCATTGGTAAACAGTCAAAGAAAAGAGAGGAAGAAAGGCTTGTGAAAGCGCGTCTAGGAGTTAACCATATTTGGGAGTGAGTCAGCCAGCCGTCATAAACTTTTACTGCGGTGAAAGTAACCGGAATCAAACAAAAATGGTTGACAGTGGTCCAAAAGATTCTGAAAAGCCTATTGTACATGCACGTAGGACGGCATACTGTACTTGAATGTAAGCCATCGGTCGTAATTGAATTTCCCATTTTGGTCTGTAACGTTTACAAAGAAGTGCTCGTTTAAAGGGAGCCAGATGACGGCATTATGGGGGATGATGCACGTTTTAATGAAATGATAACACAACGGATGTTTTCCACTCCATAGTGCGTCATTCGCCCTTAACGTGGATCATTTTTGCTACTAAATTGTACATCTATAGTAAAGATTGCGGTAACACCATGTATTTATCTCTTCTTTGAGTATATGTGGTTCTGAGAAGAACCGGGGAATAACTCGACGTTTCGAACAGTGTACTCTGTCCGTCTTCAGGAGACTGCCTAAAGACTCCTGAAGACGGACAGAGTACAC